AGGTGATTCTGTGTTGGGTGCATGGATATTTATAATAGTTATATCCTCTTGTTGGACTGAGCCCTTCATTATTAGTAATATCCTTCTTTGTCTCTTGTGACTTTCTTTGTATTGAAGTCTATTTTATCTGATACAAGTACTGCAACTCCTGCTTTTTTCTCCCAATTAGTTGCATGAAATATCTTTTTCCATCCCTTTACTTTCAGTCTGTTTATGTCTTTGGGTTTGATGTGAGTCTCTTGTAGGCAGCATAGAGATGGGTCTTGTTTTTTATCCATTCAGTGACTCTATGTCTTTTGATTGGTTCATTCAGACCATTTACATTTAGGGTGATTATCAATAGGTATGTACTTATTGCCATTGCAGGCTTTAGATTTGTGGTGACCAGAGTTTCAATGGTAATTCCCTTACTATCTAGCAGTCTAATTTAACAAATTTAGTATGCTATTACAAACACAACTCAATGGTCCTTGTTTTCCCCTCCTTTTTCTTTCTCCTCCATTCTTTATATCTTAGGTATCATGTTCTGTACTCTTTGTCTATTCCTTGATTGACTTTAGGGATAGTTGATTTGATTTTGCATCAGCTTGGTAATTAATTGTTCTACTTTCTTTACTGTGGTTTTATTTCCCCTGGTGAGAGCTATTTATCCTTAGAGTCACTTCCATGTATGGCAGTCCCTCCAAAATACACTGTAGAGACGGTTTGTGGGAGATAAATTCTCTCAGCTTTTGCCTATCTGAAAATGGTTTAATCCCTCCTTCAAATTTAAATTATAATCTTGCCAGATATTCTTGGTTCAAGGCTCTTCTGCTTTATTGCATTAAATATATCATGCCACTCCCTTGTGGCCTATAAGGTTTCTGCTGAAAAGTCTGATGATAGCCTGATGGGTTTTCTTTTCTGTGTGATCTTTTTTCTTTCTCTGGCTGCCTTTAATAGTTTGTCCTTATCCTTGATCTTTGCCATTTTAATTATTATTTGTCTTGGTGTTGTCTTCCTTGGGTCCTTAGTGTCGGGAGATCCATGCACCTCCATTTCCTGAGACTCTCCTTGCCCAGATTGGAGAAATATTCAGCAATTACCTCCTCAAAGAAACTTTCTGTTCCTTGTTTATCTTTCTTCTTCTGGTCCCCCTGTAATACGAATATTGTTCCATTTGGATTGGTCCAAGTTCTCTCAATATTCTTTCATTCCTAGAGTTTCTTTTTTCTCTCTGTGCCTCAGCTTCTTTGTATTCCTCTTCTCTAATTTCTATTTCATTTATCATCTTCTCTACCTTATCTAATCTACTTTTAAATTTCACCATTGTATTCCACAATGATTGGATCTCAGTCCTGAATTCATTCCTGAATACTTGAATATTTTTCTGTACCTCCATGAGCATGTTTTATGATTTTTATTTTGAAATCTCTTTCAGGAAGATTGATGATTTCAGTTTCACCTGCCCCTTTGTCTGGTGCTTCTGGGATTTTGGTTTGAACCAGGTTCCTTTGACGTTTCATATTTGTAGCTGGCACCCAGAAACTCTACTGTCTGGAGCTGCTCAGCCCCTGGAGCAATGTCGGGCGTCACAGGGGAGCGGTGCTGGTGCCTTGGAGTAAGAAAGATCTGTTTCCTTCTTCCTGGCTCTATGCCTGTCTCCCCTGCCAGAACCAGTGGGCTGATCACAGAGGTGTAAGCTTCTGTGCTTTGCGTTTGTAGATGCTTTAGGCAGGGCTTCCTTCTGGCTGGTCTGATGCCAGTGTAGGAGCTGCCAGTTTGCAAGCCAGGTATGTGATGGCTGGGAGGAAGGCACAGCTGGCTGGACATTATGGTGGGGAGCCTTGGAGCTGTGTATCTAACCAGGATGATGGAGCGCCTGAAGTTCCTGAAAGTTCCCAACCTGATGGGCCGAATGTGCCCAGACAATTTGTCTACCTTTCTCCTGAGCAGTAAGCTCTGTGTAACCCTTGCCCTTTAGCAGCCCTCTTGCTGCCAGTAAGTCTCTCAGACTGCCTGCCTTTCTTTTGTCCTATCGCAGCTGGATATGGATCCCTGTTTTCCACAAGCAGCTGGAATCTCAGTCTCTTCAGGTCTTTCACTGGCCTTAGCTTTCCAACCCCATAATCACCAGACCACCATGCCACGTAGGTTCATGCTCCCATAGGAGATCTTCACAGCTAGGTGTTCAGCAGTCCTAAGCCTACACTCCCTCCCCACTCTGTTTCTCTTCCTCCTGTTGGTGAGCCTGAGTGGGGGAATGGCTTGGGTCCCACCAGATTATGACTTTGCTATGTGACCCTGTTCTGTGAGGTCTGTTCCTTTCTCCATGTGTATGCAGTCTGGTGCAGCCTTCTTTCCTTTTGCTCTTTCAGGATTAGTTGTATTAATTACATTTTCATATTATATGTGATTTTTGGAGGAGGCCTCTGTCTCACCTCTCATGCCACTATCGTTAATCCTCTCAGGGCCTTTTTTTTCTTACAAAATTTTTTTGTTTTGTTTTTTAATTCTTTGCATACATTCATGGTGAACAGTGAACACAGAGATGTGTCTCCTGAGTTTGGTCCAGGTTCCTTTGCTTGCTAAGCAACTCATTCCAGCAGAACACAACAAGTTCACAATAGCAAAATGACAGAATTCATCTCACAAACCTTTGCGTAATTCTCAACTGAACAACAACGTTAAATATGTGAGAGTTACCGGTGATGGTGAAGGAGTTAAGCAAAGTGGTAGCTCATGTCAATGAGACAAAATCAAATGCATCCAAATGTATCCCCAGTGTGAGGAGATTATCTTACTCTATGGCAATTTAGGATATTACATTCAGGTCTGGGTACAACACTTTAAGGCAACTTAGATGATTTTCAGAAGACAATCAAGTTGCCAAAGGACTTTGGGGAAAATCTGAAGTAACTAGATTTAATCTGAGTCAGAGGAGACATGACTGATTTCAAATATTTGAAGGCTTATCATTATGAGATTTTGTCTCTGGAACTTGGACCAATGAGATGTACTAAGGGAATAAAAAGAAGGACTTACTAGTGAGAACTGTCAAAGATGCTGTGAGGGGCCTCAGAGCTTGAAAGGCCCCTACAGGAAATGTGTGTTAGCAGAGGTGAAACGATGATTTGCAGTCTTACAGAGGAGAGTGACATGGGATGAAGAGTTGAAATCTAACGTCTGTCTATCCCTGTGGCTATGTACTTCTAGGAAAGATGGTTAGAATAAAGAAATTGGCTTCTAGTTGCATTCACCTCAGTTGTCTGGATTACTAATCCCCTTATTTGATGCTCATATTGTGATCAGTACTGTATGGGAGTATGATCAAAAATGCTAAGATATTCCTAGAGGGGAACTATGAAATACAAAAGCAACCACCGGGAATCAGGACTCAATGCCTAGGTAGGAAGGGGCCAGGAAGGGACAAAGAACCATTGGGTTGAGTGGAATGACTGTTAAAGAATTAATGTGCTAATATACGTATTAATTATGGCAGAACTTATGTGGTGTTCATTATTAAGGTGGATCATTTGGTTTTCTCAGAATTTAAAAGCAAATTACAATCCCAGAGAACAAAGTTTGACTAGAACTAATAGCTTTATTTGCTCCTGAAATAATTCCCATCCCCCTGATAAAGAGAAACCTTGATGCCTGTTAGTTATAGGGCAAAATGGCCATGCTGAGTACATTGTGCTTGTTAGACAACTACATCCTGAACTGTGAACAATTGTAAATAATTACACTCCCCATCCCCCAGACCCCAGAATTGGGAGGCGACCTAAACACTTTTATTGCCCATCTTTTATGGTTCTGATGTGACAGATGATTTTATTGGGTGAACAACAGTGGAGCCCAAAATCAGATATTAAGATATCTTCTGTATCAGTTTGGAGTACTTATCTGGGAGTGGGGTGTTAGGGACCTATGTCACTTGAATCTTGAACACCATGTGATAAACACATTCCACTATGTGTTATAATTGTAATAGCTTACAATGGTTTATATTAACAAATTGAATGTCTGAACACCACAGTTCTCCAGGTGTTCAGACCTGGGAATACTCTGGGGAGGGAAACAGTTGCCTTGCAGTACACTACATATGGGCTTCACATTTGCTGGGGAGTGCTGCGTGTAAGAGCTGTGATGTTGCCACTCATGCCTCTCTTTGGTTTCATTTTGAGATTTTATTATTTACCTTTTTGAGAAGTTACCCTGAGATTTTGTTACAGAGAAGTGGTGAGAAAGGAAATATTTGGTAATGGAAACTAGAATAAAAATACAGAGGCAATTTCTAATTTATTCTTGTTGTTTTCCAAGGTTATTTTTTGAGAACTTAAGGTGTATTGCCAATTGAAGCATGTTATAATATAGAAAGTTCCCAGGCTAGCCCATGAAAGTCAATTTATCCTATGATACATATTAAGTATGTTACTTAGCACATTAATTGAGCTATCCCTAAACACTACATGTAAAGTGTTAATAAATACATTTGGAATCCAAATTGGGAATACTTTGCTTTGGCAGAGGAAGCGGCAATGGCTCTGAATTTCTTCATGTGGTTTTTGGATTAGAGGAGAATACAGATCCTTCACAGCAGCACCACAGTTCTCCAGGTGTTCAGACCTGGGAATACTCTGGGGAGGGAAACAGTTGCCTTGCAGTACACTACATATGGGCTTCACATTTGCTGGGAAGTGCTGCGTGTAAGAGCTGTGATGTTGCCACTCATGCCTCTCTTTGGTTTCAGTTTTAAATGCTACTTTCCATGAAGCTATAATTGAGGATAGAAGAGTTTTCTAGAAGAGGAGCTGTGTAGATTCTGAAAGAAATATGTGTCCATGGGATTCAATAATACTGTGAAATGAATTTTTACTTTTTTGGGGGATGTATATTTTCAGTGATGCGTTATTTTAAAAGTACCTACCTAATCACCTCTTAAAAAACATTTGAGTAACAGGATAAAAATAGACATTTAAAAAAATCACTTATGTTGTTTTGGGGTGGGGGAATGTAAGGTCTACACAAGTCCTTCTGTACACTCTCTGGATCAAGTAGTTGCTGGATTTCGAACACGAACTCAGATGCTGCTGGGTCACATAGAAGAACAAGATGAAGTCCTCCATTGCCAATTTTCTGATAGCAATGATGATGATGAAGAATCAGAAGGCGAAGAGAAATCTGAAGTTAGGTATGTAGACTGATTTCATAGACATCATTGTATGATGGAGAAAATGTATACAGATGTAGGGTTTTTTTTATTAAAGTATCTTTTCCATTTAATACAAGTAGGTAGATTTTGCTAATTGTACTATCAACTAATATGCTATGAAACCAGTGTTTGAACAGAAGTCATCAGTCTTAAAATTGAAAAACAACTTTGCTTTTAGAGCTGCTATAGTTGTTAGATTTTAATTTTCAGAGAGAATATTTTTGGAATCCTTGATTCTGTTCTCACAGTGGCAACAAACATGATAAATTTTTCACTGGGCCCAACATTGGGAGGGAATCCTTTTATTTTGAGGAATATTAGTAAAATGCTATTTGTCTTATACAACTAATAATTTTTTAACATTACCATCACTTTTTTGAAGCTAATTTGAGGGCAGATTAGAAAATACTAATAATCTTTGATCATGATCTTTTTTCCTAGACATCGAAGTCACTCATGGATTGAAAAGCCAGACTCTATTTGTTCTTTTGCTGAATTGAATGATATTCAGAATCAAACACAAAAGTCAAATTTGGGGAATGAAGGTACACAGACTTTCTCAAGTAATTTCTAATATTTATAAGCCAGTTCTCTTTTTCCTCACTCAGTAAGAAGTACCTAGGAATTCTCAAAGACAGGAACTTGGTAGGAATGCTTTCCTGGCTGAATGAAATTCTTTTATGTTCTCTACTCTACTTATAGTTTTTCACTCCTTAATAAGAAAATTTTCCCACCAATTGATTCTGGCTAGAGTTATAGGTTAAATCTCTCAGAGTGGGGATTCTTTATTGAAACTTGAGTTGTTTATACTCTTCATTATACTCTTGATTATTTTAAAATACATCTTATGAAATTTACTAGGCATCTACTTTACAGCCTCACTACCTACCAGCAGTGATGTATTTGGCATTACAGCCAAATTAGTCTACTGAGAGTTTATAATGTCCTAGTACACAATTGGTGAAAAAAATTTTATGAACCAAATTATAGCATCAAAAAAGTTTTTATTGCAAAAATTATAGTAGGAGATTTTAACTCATTTCTCTTGGTCTGTGAGTTGTCAAAACTAACCCTGCGAGGGTTACTTACTCAAAAAAGAGTATAAACAATATAAATAACATGATAAATAAGTCCTACACTATCTTTTTAAGAGTCTATGCATATAACATTAACAAAATTAACTATATGTTATGAATAAAACTGAAATAAAACTTTAAATGTGTAAGTAGTATAGATAAGTGCTACTCAAGTAGCCATCCTTGAACTGTTTTGTTACTGGTCTACAGCCAGGTAAGAAACTTATGCCAGAATGTAAATCAGTTCACTAGCTTCTTCATTTAGGAAGTCTTTCTATGGGAAAGAAATGTCAGCTAAATTTAAAACACTGACATAGTTGATTTTTATTCTAGTGCAAGATAGTAACAGTGCTCAACCACACTTTGAGTAGCTTGGTATAGTCTACATTCCCTGATCACAATAAAACTGGAAGTTAATAGGAAAAGAATTCAACCTTTTGCCCACCTGGAGATTTTACACCTTTTCAAAATAAGTCAAGGTTAAGAAAAACTAAAATTGCAGAGTAAGGGTGATAAAAAAATGTTATCAGCATCTAGGGGCTATGACTAAAGCATCTATATAAGGAAAGGAAAACTCACCGTAAGTCAGAAAACTGAAGTCCCAGCTGCCATGTATTTTTTTTCCTTTTTTTCTTTTACTATTTGTCTCTTTCTCTGCTGCTCCTAGGCTGCTTCTATGTCTGTTTTTCTTTTTTAACTCACTTCTGTTGAATATTTTATGAGCAAATTTATTTCTCAGTTTTATTTTATTTTAAAGATATAAAGATAGAATGTCTCCAGGAGAGTCAAGAATTGAACTTGCAAAAATCAAGGAATTTGGAACTCATACTTACTGAAGCTAACCAAAAAATAAGAGAACTTACAATTAACATCAAGATGAAGGAAGATCTAATTAAAGAGTTAATAAAAACAGGTAACAGTATCCCAGGAACCAGCTTGTGTGAGAAGGAAATGCTTCTAAAATAGCTTCTGATGTTACTTTTTGATACTCAGGACTATCCACTGGAGCTTGGAATTTGGTACAAGATTTTGTGTTTTAGAGCCAATCTGCGAGGGTTAATTATCAAAAGAGCTTTGGGATTTTATCTATGAATTGTTCTAACCAGTGTAACTCTGTGTTATGATGAAATTCTCTGGCATGTAATTTTTTTTTGCCACTTTTTTTAGGAAACATTAATACTATGCATCTGGGGAATATGAGATATTTTTCTAACTCATTTTAATTATTTTGAATTAATTACTTTTCATTCTCTTATAGCTCACTATAAACATGAATTATAAACTATATATTTTGAATGTAGGTAATTTTTATTTTTCTAAAGATGTAAGGATTTGTCCTTGAGAGCAAAGTCTGATGATAGCCTGATGGGTTTTCTTTTCTGTGTGATCTTTTTTCTTTCTCTGGCTGCCTTTAATAGTTTGTCCTTATCCTTGATCTTTGCCATTTTAATTATTATTTGTCTTGGTGTTGTCTTCCTTGGGTCCTTAGTGTCGGGAGATCCATGCACCTCCATTTCCTGAGACTCTCCTTGCCCAGATTGGAGAAATATTCAGCAATTACCTCCTCAAAGAAACTTTCTGTTCCTTGTTTATCTTTCTTCTTCTGGTCCCCCTGTAATACGAATATTGTTCCATTTGGATTGGTCCAAGTTCTCTCAATATTCTTTCATTCCTAGAGTTTCTTTTTTCTCTCTGTGCCTCAGCTTCTTTGTATTCCTCTTCTCTAATTTCTATTTCATTTATCATCTTCTCTACCTTATCTAATCTACTTTTAAATTTCACCATTGTATTCCACAATGATTGGATCTCAGTCCTGAATTCATTCCTGAATACTTGAATATTTTTCTGTACCTCCATGAGCATGTTTTATGATTTTTATTTTGAAATCTCTTTCAGGAAGATTGATGATTTCAGTTTCACCTGCCCCTTTGTCTGGTGCTTCTGGGATTTTGGTTTGAACCAGGTTCCTTTGACGTTTCATATTTGTAGCTGGCACCCAGAAACTCTACTGTCTGGAGCTGCTCAGCCCCTGGAGCAATGTCGGGCGTCACAGGGGAGCGGTGCTGGTGCCTTGGAGTAAGAAAGATCTGTTTCCTTCTTCCTGGCTCTATGCCTGTCTCCCCTGCCAGAACCAGTGGGCTGATCACAGAGGTGTAAGCTTCTGTGCTTTGCGTTTGTAGATGCTTTAGGCAGGGCTTCCTTCTGGCTGGTCTGATGCCAGTGTAGGAGCTGCCAGTTTGCAAGCCAGGTATGTGATGGCTGGGAGGAAGGCACAGCTGGCTGGACATTATGGTGGGGAGCCTTGGAGCTGTGTATCTAACCAGGATGATGGAGCGCCTGAAGTTCCTGAAAGTTCCCAACCTGATGGGCCGAATGTGCCCAGACAATTTGTCTACCTTTCTCCTGAGCAGTAAGCTCTGTGTAACCCTTGCCCTTTAGCAGCCCTCTTGCTGCCAGTAAGTCTCTCAGACTGCCTGCCTTTCTTTTGTCCTATCGCAGCTGGATATGGATCCCTGTTTTCCACAAGCAGCTGGAATCTCAGTCTCTTCAGGTCTTTCACTGGCCTTAGCTTTCCAACCCCATAATCACCAGACCACCATGCCACGTAGGTTCATGCTCCCATAGGAGATCTTCACAGCTAGGTGTTCAGCAGTCCTAAGCCTACACTCCCTCCCCACTCTGTTTCTCTTCCTCCTGTTGGTGAGCCTGAGTGGGGGAATGGCTTGGGTCCCACCAGATTATGACTTTGCTATGTGACCCTGTTCTGTGAGGTCTGTTCCTTTCTCCATGTGTATGCAGTCTGGTGCAGCCTTCTTTCCTTTTGCTCTTTCAGGATTAGTTGTATTAATTACATTTTCATATTATATGTGATTTTTGGAGGAGGCCTCTGTCTCACCTCTCATGCCACTATCGTTAATCCTCTCAGGGCCTTTTTTTTCTTACAAAATTTTTTTGTTTTGTTTTTTAATTCTTTGCATACATTCATGGTGAACAGTGAACACAGAGATGTGTCTCCTGAGTTTGGTCCAGGTTCCTTTGCTTGCTAAGCAACTCATTCCAGCAGAACACAACAAGTTCACAATAGCAAAATGACAGAATTCATCTCACAAACCTTTGCGTAATTCTCAACTGAACAACAACGTTAAATATGTGAGAGTTACCGGTGATGGTGAAGGAGTTAAGCAAAGTGGTAGCTCATGTCAATGAGACAAAATCAAATGCATCCAAATGTATCCCCAGTGTGAGGAGATTATCTTACTCTATGGCAATTTAGGATATTACATTCAGGTCTGGGTACAACACTTTAAGGCAACTTAGATGATTTTCAGAAGACAATCAAGTTGCCAAAGGACTTTGGGGAAAATCTGAAGTAACTAGATTTAATCTGAGTCAGAGGAGACATGACTGATTTCAAATATTTGAAGGCTTATCATTATGAGATTTTGTCTCTGGAACTTGGACCAATGAGATGTACTAAGGGAATAAAAAGAAGGACTTACTAGTGAGAACTGTCAAAGATGCTGTGAGGGGCCTCAGAGCTTGAAAGGCCCCTACAGGAAATGTGTGTTAGCAGAGGTGAAACGATGATTTGCAGTCTTACAGAGGAGAGTGACATGGGATGAAGAGTTGAAATCTAACGTCTGTCTATCCCTGTGGCTATGTACTTCTAGGAAAGATGGTTAGAATAAAGAAATTGGCTTCTAGTTGCATTCACCTCAGTTGTCTGGATTACTAATCCCCTTATTTGATGCTCATATTGTGATCAGTACTGTATGGGAGTATGATCAAAAATGCTAAGATATTCCTAGAGGGGAACTATGAAATACAAAAGCAACCACCGGGAATCAGGACTCAATGCCTAGGTAGGAAGGGGCCAGGAAGGGACAAAGAACCATTGGGTTGAGTGGAATGACTGTTAAAGAATTAATGTGCTAATATACGTATTAATTATGGCAGAACTTATGTGGTGTTCATTATTAAGGTGGATCATTTGGTTTTCTCAGAATTTAAAAGCAAATTACAATCCCAGAGAACAAAGTTTGACTAGAACTAATAGCTTTATTTGCTCCTGAAATAATTCCCATCCCCCTGATAAAGAGAAACCTTGATGCCTGTTAGTTATAGGGCAAAATGGCCATGCTGAGTACATTGTGCTTGTTAGACAACTACATCCTGAACTGTGAACAATTGTAAATAATTACACTCCCCATCCCCCAGACCCCAGAATTGGGAGGCGACCTAAACACTTTTATTGCCCATCTTTTATGGTTCTGATGTGACAGATGATTTTATTGGGTGAACAACAGTGGAGCCCAAAATCAGATATTAAGATATCTTCTGTATCAGTTTGGAGTACTTATCTGGGAGTGGGGTGTTAGGGACCTATGTCACTTGAATCTTGAACACCATGTGATAAACACATTCCACTATGTGTTATAATTGTAATAGCTTACAATGGTTTATATTAACAAATTGAATGTCTGAACACCACAGTTCTCCAGGTGTTCAGACCTGGGAATACTCTGGGGAGGGAAACAGTTGCCTTGCAGTACACTACATATGGGCTTCACATTTGCTGGGGAGTGCTGCGTGTAAGAGCTGTGATGTTGCCACTCATGCCTCTCTTTGGTTTCATTTTGAGATTTTATTATTTACCTTTTTGAGAAGTTACCCTGAGATTTTGTTACAGAGAAGTGGTGAGAAAGGAAATATTTGGTAATGGAAACTAGAATAAAAATACAGAGGCAATTTCTAATTTATTCTTGTTGTTTTCCAAGGTTATTTTTTGAGAACTTAAGGTGTATTGCCAATTGAAGCATGTTATAATATAGAAAGTTCCCAGGCTAGCCCATGAAAGTCAATTTATCCTATGATACATATTAAGTATGTTACTTAGCACATTAATTGAGCTATCCCTAAACACTACATGTAAAGTGTTAATAAATACATTTGGAATCCAAATTGGGAATACTTTGCTTTGGCAGAGGAAGCGGCAATGGCTCTGAATTTCTTCATGTGGTTTTTGGATTAGAGGAGAATACAGATCCTTCACAGCAGCACCACAGTTCTCCAGGTGTTCAGACCTGGGAATACTCTGGGGAGGGAAACAGTTGCCTTGCAGTACACTACATATGGGCTTCACATTTGCTGGGAAGTGCTGCGTGTAAGAGCTGTGATGTTGCCACTCATGCCTCTCTTTGGTTTCAGTTTTAAATGCTACTTTCCATGAAGCTATAATTGAGGATAGAAGAGTTTTCTAGAAGAGGAGCTGTGTAGATTCTGAAAGAAATATGTGTCCATGGGATTCAATAATACTGTGAAATGAATTTTTACTTTTTTGGGGGATGTATATTTTCAGTGATGCGTTATTTTAAAAGTACCTACCTAATCACCTCTTAAAAAACATTTGAGTAACAGGATAAAAATAGACATTTAAAAAAATCACTTATGTTGTTTTGGGGTGGGGGAATGTAAGGTCTACACAAGTCCTTCTGTACACTCTCTGGATCAAGTAGTTGCTGGATTTCGAACACGAACTCAGATGCTGCTGGGTCACATAGAAGAACAAGATGAAGTCCTCCATTGCCAATTTTCTGATAGCAATGATGATGATGAAGAATCAGAAGGCGAAGAGAAATCTGAAGTTAGGTATGTAGACTGATTTCATAGACATCATTGTATGATGGAGAAAATGTATACAGATGTAGGGTTTTTTTTATTAAAGTATCTTTTCCATTTAATACAAGTAGGTAGATTTTGCTAATTGTACTATCAACTAATATGCTATGAAACCAGTGTTTGAACAGAAGTCATCAGTCTTAAAATTGAAAAACAACTTTGCTTTTAGAGCTGCTATAGTTGTTAGATTTTAATTTTCAGAGAGAATATTTTTGGAATCCTTGATTCTGTTCTCACAGTGGCAACAAACATGATAAATTTTTCACTGGGCCCAACATTGGGAGGGAATCCTTTTATTTTGAGGAATATTAGTAAAATGCTATTTGTCTTATACAACTAATAATTTTTTAACATTACCATCACTTTTTTGAAGCTAATTTGAGGGCAGATTAGAAAATACTAATAATCTTTGATCATGATCTTTTTTCCTAGACATCGAAGTCACTCATGGATTGAAAAGCCAGACTCTATTTGTTCTTTTGCTGAATTGAATGATATTCAGAATCAAACACAAAAGTCAAATTTGGGGAATGAAGGTACACAGACTTTCTCAAGTAATTTCTAATATTTATAAGCCAGTTCTCTTTTTCCTCACTCAGTAAGAAGTACCTAGGAATTCTCAAAGACAGGAACTTGGTAGGAATGCTTTCCTGGCTGAATGAAATTCTTTTATGTTCTCTACTCTACTTATAGTTTTTCACTCCTTAATAAGAAAATTTTCCCACCAATTGATTCTGGCTAGAGTTATAGGTTAAATCTCTCAGAGTGGGGATTCTTTATTGAAACTTGAGTTGTTTATACTCTTCATTATACTCTTGATTATTTTAAAATACATCTTATGAAATTTACTAGGCATCTACTTTACAGCCTCACTACCTACCAGCAGTGATGTATTTGGCATTACAGCCAAATTAGTCTACTGAGAGTTTATAATGTCCTAGTACACAATTGGTGAAAAAAATTTTATGAACCAAATTATAGCATCAAAAAAGTTTTTATTGCAAAAATTATAGTAGGAGATTTTAACTCATTTCTCTTGGTCTGTGAGTTGTCAAAACTAACCCTGCGAGGGTTACTTACTCAAAAAAGAGTATAAACAATATAAATAACATGATAAATAAGTCCTACACTATCTTTTTAAGAGTCTATGCATATAACATTAACAAAATTAACTATATGTTATGAATAAAACTGAAATAAAACTTTAAATGTGTAAGTAGTATAGATAAGTGCTACTCAAGTAGCCATCCTTGAACTGTTTTGTTACTGGTCTACAGCCAGGTAAGAAACTTATGCCAGAATGTAAATCAGTTCACTAGCTTCTTCATTTAGGAAGTCTTTCTATGGGAAAGAAATGTCAGCTAAATTTAAAACACTGACATAGTTGATTTTTATTCTAGTGCAAGATAGTAACAGTGCTCAACCACACTTTGAGTAGCTTGGTATAGTCTACATTCCCTGATCACAATAAAACTGGAAGTTAATAGGAAAAGAATTCAACCTTTTGCCCACCTGGAGATTTTACACCTTTTCAAAATAAGTCAAGGTTAAGAAAAACTAAAATTGCAGAGTAAGGGTGATAAAAAAATGTTATCAGCATCTAGGGGCTATGACTAAAGCATCTATATAAGGAAAGGAAAACTCACCGTAAGTCAGAAAACTGAAGTCCCAGCTGCCATGTATTTTTTTTCCTTTTTTTCTTTTACTATTTGTCTCTTTCTCTGCTGCTCCTAGGCTGCTTCTATGTCTGTTTTTCTTTTTTAACTCACTTCTGTTGAATATTTTATGAGCAAATTTATTTCTCAGTTTTATTTTATTTTAAAGATATAAAGATAGAATGTCTCCAGGAGAGTCAAGAATTGAACTTGCAAAAATCAAGGAATTTGGAACTCATACTTACTGAAGCTAACCAAAAAATAAGAGAACTTACAATTAACATCAAGATGAAGGAAGATCTAATTAAAGAGTTAATAAAAACAGGTAACAGTATCCCAGGAACCAGCTTGTGTGAGAAGGAAATGCTTCTAAAATAGCTTCTGATGTTACTTTTTGATACTCAGGACTATCCACTGGAGCTTGGAATTTGGTACAAGATTTTGTGTTTTAGAGCCAATCTGCGAGGGTTAATTATCAAAAGAGCTTTGGGATTTTATCTATGAATTGTTCTAACCAGTGTAACTCTGTGTTATGATGAAATTCTCTGGCATGTAATTTTTTTTTGCCACTTTTTTTAGGAAACATTAATACTATGCATCTGGGGAATATGAGATATTTTTCTAACTCATTTTAATTATTTTGAATTAATTACTTTTCATTCTCTTATAGCTCACTATAAACATGAATTATAAACTATATATTTTGAATGTAGGTAATTTTTATTTTTCTAAAGATGTAAGGATTTGTCCTTGAGAGCCATTCTCTTAGTGAGCCAAGCTTTTAGCTCTTTTTCTTAGTGTCAAGTTCTGCTAGGTTGGGCAGTTGAACCACATTCTCTTCTCATCGTCAGCCCTATTAGGCTTGCCTTAAAAAGCATGTCTCAGGCTTTTTGATTTTCCCCTCCAGTATACTCAAAGTATGAGCCTTGACTACTTTGAAATTCAGAAAAGAATTGAAGGAATAAGAGACACTAGCATTTCTTTTGACCAACACCAGTGAAAAACAATTCTCTGGAATTGAAAAAAATATTATCTCCCTTTTCTTCAAGCCCAGGCTACAGTCACACTCAAACAGCAGGAATTATGGTGGCCCCAGCTCTGCCAGCAAGGGGAAACCAGCCTCCCCACCTCCCTCTTTCACACAAGCTTGCTTTCTGGCTGTCAGTCCTTCCTTCCCGGTGTCCTCTCCCTAGCTGCTATCTCAAAGCATTTTCCTTCCTCATTCCTAGCAACCTGTGTGCTATGCACCATCCCAGCTCCGACTATCCCAGATGTTTGCATTTGACCATGCTCCTCCTCACAGGCAGGGCCAATGTAGTAAAACTTTTCTTAGGAGTATCTAGGAACTGGTTTAGTGGTTTAAGTAGCTTCTGCATCCCTGCAATTTCAGGGTATTGCTTGTGGAAGTTGAGGATATTTACCCCTCTGGAATAAATGAGTTTCTTTCATATAGGTTATTCCACATGGAATATCTCTCTAAAAAACTATGCGTTTGTAGCCTGGTATACTCATCCTGGTCGCCTTAAACTAGAGGATACCTGAACTTACACAGAGAAGGTCCTCTTCTTACTCATTAGAACCCATGGAAGTTTGGAGCTTTCCTTAGAGGTGGTGACTAATAAAAGGGCCCATATGTGCTTCCTTTCCAAAGCCCTTTCTCTGAAGACTTCTCCCGAATAGCCAGCAATAACAGCAGTGGCAATTATACTGTATTTCATCAATTCTAATACACATTTTTTTACATTTTAATATCTCTGAAATCATAATTATCTTACAGTCAGTGGCATCTTAGCATTTTATCACATAAATGATATAATTGGCATGTATTTTTTCCATAGTAGTTCATAAAATATTGGTTTGTTGAGCAATTTATGGGAGCTCAGATTCATTATAATATAGTAGTCACATGTATTGTAAAGAAAATCAAATAAACAGAGTTGTAGAGCCAGAAGACAATTCACAGTGCATTTAGTTCAATAACTCCTTTTAGTTATCATCCCATGAGCTCTGGACACATTTCCTGCTGCCACAAATTTGCTAGTTCAGGGACAGTTGGCTATTAAGAACAAATCAAAATAAAGTTTTTCAAGTCAGTAGCTGGGCTTTGAATGAAAAGAGATGTAGAAATATCTATATTCTATTTTTCTTTCTGTTCTAAACATTAATAAGAAAAGCATTTAAAAAGAATTCATCTTTACTAAGTTTAGAGGAATGAAAGAAGAGGGGGGCCAGCTCTAGATCAAAAGATTCTTGAGAGACACACAGTCTGATATATTGTGGACCTTGTTTTATGGTGATTAAAACAAACCAATTAAAGACATTTTGAGGCAAATTGACAAGTCTGAATAGGGACAGACAGGTATTAATATTGTTAAGCGTGATAATGACTTTTTGGTTCTGTCTATATTTTGTAAAGATGTTTATTGAGATGTGTAGGGAGATGATATGGCATCTGGGATTATTTTACAATTTAAAACAAAAGAAAAGAAAGGCGTGCATTACTTTCCTCCTTTTGATATGTTGGATAATTTATATAATATCCTCAGAAATCCTTTTTTTACTGAGGTACATGTTATAAAATTCACAAATCTTCGAGTACAGCTGGACAAATCTTGATGTGTGTGTACAGTCATGTAACCATCACCCAGATCAAGATACCAAACATTCTCATTGATTTGTTTCCCAAATATCCTTAACTGGAGTTTGATGCCAGCAAAGTGAAGTGCAAATTCAGAAGATAAAAAGTGAGACACTAAAAAAAAAAAAAAAAATTAATTTTTGAACCTGTGAGAAGAATGGCACCAAATGGGAACAGTCATCGAGGAAGTAATTATTAAGAGGCCAGGTGGCAAGTTGTGTTTGATGTGGATGAATGGTGACAGCTGAGCTTTTTATGCTATGCCTTAAATAGTTACACTGTCCAGCTGGAGTTTTAAGAGTGGAGCATTTTTATGTTCTTAATATTTTACTTGTTTTTTTTTAAACATAATTTATAATAATAATTATTGCTATTATTTTGAAGGTAATGATGCCAAGTCTGTAAGCAAGCAGTATGCTCTGAAAGTAATGAAACTTGAGCAGGAAGTGAAACAGGCACAAGTGGAATTAACTGAAACACAAAAGCAGCTACAGGAACTGGAAAGCAAACATCTTTCTGATGTTGCTTTGAAGGCAAAATTACAGAAGGAGTTCTGCAAAAAGATGGATGCTGCAAAGCTAAGAGTCCAGGTATTTAAAAATGTAGATGAGGAAATTCACTTACGGCTTCCCACTTTAGGATTCTTATACCTAGTTAGGAAAGAAGTCAGATTCATTTTTTACCAGCAAGAAAAACTGGATGGCAACTTTTCTTTTTCTTTTTCTGCATGCTGGGAGGTTTACATACTTTCAATCTGTGTAGTATATTTCTTAATTCAAGAAGTATATTACTGTAATCTTCTTATGAAAAACCATGTGGTAAGAAATAAAGGTAGCCACAGAAAGTGTCCTTTTCTGAAGGAAAAAAGATTAACGATTAAATAATACATATAAAACATCTGGTGTGTATATGGCACTTTGTAGACACTCAACAACTGATAACTATTTCAGACAGTTTTCTGAAAGCATAACTGATCTGTTACTTTCATATTGTTTCCATGGTAGGTAGAGTGGAATTGTAGTTAACCTATTCAGGGCATTATTTATTTATTTTAAAACTGTGCCACAGTTATTTTCTTTCCACAAGATAAGTGTTCACTGCACACCTCCTCTGTGCCCGTCACTATTCTAGGTGGGGATGCAGAGGTGAACAAACCAAAAAAGTTTCCCCTTCTAGGGCTTTTAATGCCACCTCAAACATCTGGACATCTCCACTAAGTTTTTTTACATACATAGCCTCTCAAGTCAACGCCAAGGTAAAATGACACAGCTTCAGTGTTTGGACTGCTCAAAGGAGGACATGGCAGTAGTGTATGTCATACCTTCTACTTTCCTTCAGAGTACATGTTTTCACTTAGCACTTCACCTCAGAGTACCTTGGGATCAATTCTTTTTCACTTCTTGACCCTTTAAATTAAGGTTGTCATGTCTAACAAAGTACTTATTTTAACAAAACATTAGTAAAGTTATTTCCTGTGTGTTTATTATGAAATTTTATTTATAATTTCATAGTTCTATATCCTAGTTTTGGTTCTGATTGTAATTCTTATATTCAATATTCATAAGTAATAATCAAAATTATTGTTTTTCTATGAATTACATTAATAGAAATAGTTTTTCTATTAATATCTATGTTATACTTACCTCTGTCTATAATTTAAGCCTTGTTTGTGGATTTAAGAAAGATTATTTTTATGTTCTAAATTACACACAACTGAAATGGTTGAGATTAAAAGATTAAATGAAAGATTATTAATATTGAGGATTATCACGTTCTTTTTGTTTTCCATATTTTGTGCTGCATATCCCTTTTTGCTGAGGGCACTGATAAGGAAAAGAAAGAAGACACAGAAGTTAATTAAGCTCAAAAGAGGCACCTCGTATAACAGGGGACTGAAACAAGATTCCCATGTAGTTTTAGAAATTTCTGTGCCTTTGACATATCCATGCACAACTGGTGGGGCTGGGGGTGATCCGCATGGTGAGGAGGATAGGGGTGATGAGGAGGAGGACAGTAGTCACCAGTTGTTAAGTATCTCCAAAGTGGCATACACATACCAGATGTGTTATATGTATTTAGTCACTATTTAATCCTTAAAGTGAGTATTTTTACCCTATTTAAAATGAGGATGCTAAGGTTTAGAAAGGTAAAATAATTCATTCAGAGTCACACAGTGAGTCACATGTGAGGATACTCATGGTTTTGAGTACTCTTAACTTATATCATTTTTAAATATTGATATACTATTTTTAATCAGTACAATGAAGTTATTTCAGTCTTTAAGGTTTTAATTTTAAAAATCTAAAATATGTATTATGTCTTTAGATATTATAGAGAGTTAAATGGTGCATCAGTATTTTAATGTTAACAGGTGCACTTTTGAGCATCTGTGGAGTAAGGCTAACAGACAATGACAACCTATCTCACTTTTAAATAAGATCATAAGTACTTATAGTGACATTTTCAATATTATATGGAAAAGACATTAAAATGCTAATCATTTTTGCTCCAGTATTGCAGTAACTGTCAAAAGTAAGTGGCAATGCCAGTGTCCAAATCCAGAGACGGGAAACTGCGGAGTCCTCTGGCCTCCAAGCTAGTGGTACTCAAAGTACCATCTACAGATTGTTTGTGAGTGCTTTGTGACAGGACAGAGGTAAATGGGAGCACAGATTCCTTCAGCAAAATGTCTTGCATGAAAACAATGTCAGCTGAATCTAATAGTGTGCTTGGTGTATGCTGACAACAGTCTGTGGCTGGTACTGGGCCACAGACCACACTTGTAGCAGTACTCTAAGCCATAGTGCCTCTGCGAATACTTAGTTTAGTTAAAATGAAATATGTGTATGTCAATAATTTATTGACAAGATAAAGGAAATTAACTGTAGTCTGCATAATTTACAAATGACCTCACCTTAACTTTTTTATGTCACCTAAGAGGTACTTAGTGCAAAGCTAAAGCATATAATAAAAGTCTCAGATATGTTTGATCAGGATTAAATTGGAACATTCTGGTATGGTATATTAGTAGTGTAAACTCTTTGAAAATGTTCATAAATTTTAATGCTATCTATAGATAATTTTACCTAGATAAGGAGAAGCTTTATTTAAGATAAGTAAAACAATAATTTATAAAGGTTGGTCACTTTTAGGGAAAATGGTATCAGTTCTGTTCCTCCTGATGGATTAGGCTACAGCTGGATGTAATAGACAAGCACAGGGAATACCGTGCAGTCACATAGGAAGAAAAATATCCAAGTGAAAAGACCTCTAAGATAAGTTAAATAGAAAAAAGGAGGTGGGGAATAGTCTATCTAGAATATACATAAGGTTATTTACATGCATATAAATTATTTCTGGAAGAATATTTAAGATATAAATAATTTTGCATTGGGAAGCAGGACCGGTAGATTAGGGGTCTGAGAGTCTTTTTAAATATAAGTTCAGTTTTGTATTGTTTTAATTTTTATCATGTACATACAATATTTTCAATTAAAACAATGAACCAGAGACATCAGTTTTGTTCAGTTTGGCTATCAGCTTCAGGAAGTCTTCTAATTCTTTGTATCTGGTGAAAATTATTATGGCTGCCTAATTGTGAAACTAGAAATGTAGAAAATAATTGTGAACCTATCAAAAATAAATTACAGACAAAATGACTACCCTTGCCACTGAATGAAAAGTTTAAAGTTTACTTGAGGTTTGTGAGAGGTGCTGTTTTTTGTTTTGAAATATTCCCTATGCTCCCAGGTCTTACAGAAGAAGCGACAAAACAGTGAGAAGTTGGCATCACTGTCTATCCAAAATGAGAAACGTGCTAATGAGCTAGAGCAGAATGTAGATCATATGAAACATCAAAAGGGACAGCTGCAAAAAAGACTTAGAGAAGAAAATGAGAAAAGGAAGCAACTGGATGCAGAAATTCAGCGGGATCAAGAAAAAATCAAAGTACCATTGTCATCCTTTCCTGCTAGGCATAATATGAAATGTTAAATGGTGCAGAGCTAATAAAGCGTAGGTCTTGATTCAGTTGGCTTGTGAGGATCTAACCTTGGCTGTCCTTGGCTGCTATTTTCATTTACTTTAAAGCTCTGTACATCTACATAGTAAAATCTGTTTATTGAATTCTGAGTACTGTCTTAAAGCTTTGACTTCAAAAGTAGTGATAACAGTGCCTCTACCCAGGACCTTAACTTTAGTTGAGGTTGTCAAAAACAAATATATAAAGCCGACTTTCTAAAAAGTAATTAACATTTGAATAGGATTTCCTGTTTTCAAAGTACTTTGACATACATTGTCTATGTTGCAGCATGGACAAAAGTAAAAGGTAAAATGCTACTATTTCATTCATAGCAGAAGAGTGAGCAATCAGCCCTGTATGCTCAACAGTTTCATAGAATGGAATGGACTGGGGAGGACTTAGTGGTGTTAGGCTAGCATGGGTTCAAATCCCAGCTCTGTCAGTTCCTGGCTGGATCAGGTATTGAGAAAATCACTTACCCACTCTTTAGTCTGTTTATTTATATATAAAATGGCCTTACTCATACTTGCTTCACAGGGCTTTTGTGAAGAAGAGGATGGTGATATTATTCATAATAACTATACAAAACACTTACCTACCACTATGTACCAGGTTCTGATCTATTGAAAAGTTAAGTGGAACCCAAGACTTGAAACATAATTAGAGATTTATTTGACTTTAAATTTTGGAATATAAATCTATTCTCAGACTTTATAAGAAATCCATAGAATTTAATGATGGAAGAGAACTTAAAGAGCATTTCAGCCAAATTACTGATTCTTCTTTTTAAAACAGCTTTATTGAGCTATACTTCATATTCTATACAACTTACCCATGTAAAGCATACAGTTCAATGGGTTTTGATATGTTACATCATCCTCCTTGAGTGAGGAAGCTAGGGCCCCACACAGCTAAAGAAGAGATGAGGCCTACCTACAAGGCAGCCATTATTTCAAAAGTCCATGTGGAAACAAACCAGAAAGGTTTTAGCAAAACCTCCCTGGGGAGTGAAATTATACTTTTGACTCTGCAGCTTTTGTGAATATATTGTTCACAAATATGAAGGTGCACCTATCATTCTAAAGCAGCTCCTTGTTCCTAGTTGCTATCCCATTTTATTCTTAGCAGCAGGCCTGCTGACCAGTGTGAGCTTTCCTGAGGGAGATGAGGATGCTTCCTCCTGCCCCTGACATGGGCATGCCACCATGGTCTCCCAGCTGGCCCCTCTTACAATAGGAACAGTTGTGCTAAATATATAAACATGAAATTTACCATTTTAATGGTATTAAGTATACAATTCAGTGGCATTAATCACTTTCACAATTAATGTGAATTAATTGTGCTACCATCACTATTTCCAAAATTTTTCATCACCTGAAACAAATACTCTATAACCATTAAGTAGTAACTTACCATTTCCCTTTTCTCCTCAGTCCCTGGTAACCTCTAACCTATGTCTGTCTCTATGAATTTACCTATTCTAGCTATTGTATAAAGTGGAATCATACAATATTTGTACTGCGTCTGGCTTATTTCACTTAGCATATTATTTTCAAGGTTCACTCACCCATGTTGTAACATGTATCAGAACTTAATTTCCTTTTTATGGCCAAGTAATATTCCATTGTATATGTTATAACACTTTTTGTTCATCCATTTGTCTGTTGATAAATACTTGGGTTGTTTCCACATTTTGGCTATTGTGAATAATGCTGTGTTAAACATTGGCATACAAGTAACAGTTCAAACTCCTGCTTTCAGTTCCCTTGGAATTAAATACATAGGTGTGAAGTTACTGGGTTATATGATAATTCTGTGTTTAGCTTTTTGAGAAACTACCAACTTTTTAATAGCAGAAGCACCATTAAATTAAATTAATTATTGGAATATAATTGATATACAATATAATATTGATTTCAGATGTATAACATAGAGACTAGATAATTATATACATTACAAGATGCGTGGCACAGTGAGTGTAGTTCCCTGATACCATACCAAGATATTAATATTTATAGGTTATATTTGCTATGTTGTACTTCCATTGCTATGGCCAATTTATTTTTATTTTTATTAAAGTATCATTAATATACAATCTTACATTGGTTTCAAATGTACGTCACAGTGGTTCAACAGTGCCCATGATCAGCTTACATTGTGATTGCAATTATTCTGCCCTTTTATCCTTTCCCCCTCCACTTCCCCAGCACCCACCCCAACTCTTCCCCTTAGTAACCACTAGTCACTTCTCAGTGTCTGTGAATCTAATGCTGTTTCATTCCTGCTGTTTTGCTTTGTTTTTATATTTCACAAATGAGTGAAATCATACAGTTTTTGTCTTTCTTTGCCTGGCTTGTTCTACTAAGCACAATACCCTCTAGATCCATCCATGTTGGTGCAAATAGTAGGATTTTTTTCTTTTTATGTTGAATAATATTCTATTGCATATGTGTACCACTTCTTTATAAATCAAGGATTTTGTTTTCTTCAGGTAAATTCCTGGGAGTGGAATTACTGGGTCAAATGGTATTTCCTTTTTTAAAAATTTTTTTGAGGAACCTCTATATTGCTTTCCACAATGGTTGCACCAATCTGCAGTCCTACCAACAGTGTAGGAGGGTTCCTTATTCTCTGCATTTTCACAAGCATTTGTTATTTCTTGTCTTTTGAATAGTGGCTCTTCTAACTGGTGTGAGGTGATATCTAATTGTGGTTTTAATTTGCACTTCCCTGATGCTTAGCTGTCTGGAGCATTCTTTTCATGTGCCTGTTGGCCATTTGTATTTCTTCTTTGGAGAAGTGTCTGTTCAGGTCCTCTGCCCATTCTTTGATAGGGTTATTTGTTTTTGGGGTGTTGGGGCACATGAGTTCTTTATATATTTTGGATGTTAGCCCCTTTTCAGATAAGTCATTTACAAATCTATTCTACCATGGTGCAGCATGCCTCTTTGTTCTGCTGATGGTGTTCTTTGCTGTATGGAAGCTTTTTAGTTTGATGTAATCCCATTTGTTCATTTTTTATTTTGCTCATATTCAAGAGAGTTTTGCCTATGTTCTAAGAGTTTTATGGTTTCATGACTTACATTCATGTCTTTGATCCATTTCAAGTTTACTTTTGTGTGTGGAGTTAGACAATAATAGAGTTCCATTCTCTTACATGTAGTTGTCCAGTTTTCCCACCCCATTGTATATCCATGGCTCCTTTATCATGTATTAATTGGTCATGTATGTGTGGGTTTATATCTGGGCTCTCTATTCTGTTCCATTGATCTATGGGTCTATTCTTGTGCCAGTACCAAATTGTTTTGATTACTGTGGCTTTGTAGTAGAGCTTGAAGTGGGCAGCATAATACTCCCACTTTGTTCTTTCTCAGGATTGCTTTGGTTATTTGGGGTCTTTTGTGGCTCAATATAAATTTTAGAACTATTTGTTCTAGTTTGTTGAAAAATGCTTTTGTTGTTTTGATAGGGATTGCACTGAATCTGTAGATTGCTTTAGGCAGGATGGCCATTTGACAATATTAATTCTTCCTGTCCATGAGCAGAGTATGCATTTCCATTTATTGGTGTCTTCTTTAATTTCTCTCATGAGTGTCTTGTGGTTTTCAGGGTATACGTCTTTCACCTCCTTGGTTAGGTTTATTCCTAGGTATTTTATTCCTTTTGCTACAATTGTAAATGGGGTTGTTTTCCTGATTTCTCTTTCCTGATTTCCTGATTTCTCATTCGTTGTCAGTATATAGGAATATGAAAGATATCTGTGTATTAATTTTGTATCCTGTAGCTTTGCTGAATTTTGTTATTAGTTCTAATAGTTTTTGGTGGACTCTTTAGGGTTTTCTATGTATAATATCCTGTCATCTGCAAATAGTGACAATTTACGTCTCCTTAACCAATTTGGATGCCTTTTATCTCTGTGTTGTCTGATTGTGATGGCTAGGACCTCTTATAGTACTATGTTGCATAAAAGTGGTGAGGGTGGACATCCTTGTCTTGTTCCTGATCTTAGAGGAAAGATTTTCAGCTTCTTGCTTTTAGGTATGATGTTGCCTGTGGGTTTGTTGTATGTGGCCTTTACTATGCTGAATTACATACCCTCTATATCCATTTTGTTGAGACTTTTATCATGAATGATTGTTGATTTTGTCAAATGCTTTTTCGGCATCTTTTGAGGTGATCATGTGGTGTTTATCCTTTTTGTGAACGTGATGTATGATATTGATGGATTTACAAATATTGTACCATCCTTGCATCCCTGGAATATATCCCACTTGGTCATATGGGTGATCTTTTTGATGTATTTTTGGATTCAGTTTGCTAATATTTTGTTGATGATTTTTGCATATATGTTATTTGTGAATATTGGTCTGTAATTTTTTTTGTGTGTGGTGTCATTGTCTGATTTTGGTATTAGAGTGATGCTGGCCTCAGGGAATGAGTTTGGAAGTATTCCCTCTTCTACTTTTTGGAATACTTTAAGAAGGATGGGTATTATCCCTTCTTTAATTGCTTTATAAAATTCAGCTGTGAAGCCATCTGGACCAGCTTTTGTTTTTAGTAGTTGGTTTATTACCAGTTCAATTTCATTGCTGGTAATTGATCTGTTTAGATTTTCTATTTCTTCCTGGGTTAGTCTTGGAAGGTTGTATTTTTCTAGAAAGTTGTCCTTTTCTTCTTGGTTGTCCAACTTATTGGCATGTAATTTTTCGTGGTATTCTCTAATAATTCTTTGTATTTCTGTGTTGTTCATAGTGATTTTTCCATTCTCATCTCTGATTCTGTTTATGTGTGTAGACTATCTTTTTTCTTGATAAGTCTGGGTAGGGGCTTATCTATTCTGTTTATTTTCTCAAAGAACCAGCTCCTGGTTTCATTGATTTTTTTTCTGTTTTTTTTTTATTCTTCTCTATTTTACTTATTTCTGCTC